CCCAGCGGCCAGGCCGGGCCCCGGAGCGGGGCGGGGAGCCGGGCGCGGACCGGTGCCCCCCTCCCGGGTGCGTGGCCCGCGGTGCGCGCCCCGGGACGCGGCGCCCACGGTGACCGGCGCTCCGCCTGCGGGGCCGAACCCCTGGCTACGGCGGATTCGGGGCGTGGGGAACCCCTGGGAGCTGCGGGAGGGGCTCGCGCGGCCACGCACCCACTGGGCTCACGCGGGGCGCGCACGCGCACTGGTTTCTTCCACGCAACCCCCTGCTTCTCGCGGAGACAACCCCGTGGGGAAGGGAGGCGCGCCCCAAGCATTCAGCGCCCCCCCACACGCTGGCTGGAAATGCGGGCATCCAGGGGGCTGTGCCCCGCAGCGGCCCCTGCGCCCCACACGCCCAGCCCAGCAGGCCCAGGGCATCCCGCGAGCGTTCGCACTCGTGGGCCCAGGCCACAATTACCCACCGCAGGCCTGGAGTTCCAGCCTCCCAGATGGGCGCCAAGGTGGCAGGGCCGCAGCTCTGGCAGTAGACGGGGACCCAAAGCACCGCCCGGCCTTTCCCCCAGAGGAAGCCATGGAGTGTGGAAGTCAGTTTAGGTCTTCACTTCTAAACTGTTCAAATAGGCAATCAACTTTTATGATGTAATTTATAATTTACACGGGTTGTCTTCATACATATGGTGTTGCTTTTGTGTGTCGGAACTTCAGGTGCTTTATTACTCTGAAGGTGTGATTTGTATTCATGTTTGGTTACCAAGATCATATTTCTCTTGTTTACACCATAAGGGATCCAAATGGAGATGGATGCCACCTCCCCTTGTCCGGGCCATCACGCAGACCCCGGGCATTTCCCCCTAAACAGCTCAGGCTGGCTGCCCTCACTTGGGAAAGGGGGGCACTCAGGTGTGCTAAACCTTCAGGGAAGTCCCAGGCACACCTGAAGGTCAGAGTAGGCCACCTGCTCCTGCTGTGCACACCTGGGCAGAGGCCCCGAGTCTTCAGGGACAGAAAGAGGTGTGCAGTCACCCAGCCAAAGGCCACAGCCCATAAGAACAGGCTTCTGGATCATGTGGTAGCCTGTGTCCGGCAGGCAAAAGGCTTGAAGGCCAGCTCAGTTACTAGGCTGCCAAGTATGCTACAGCTTCTCCAGATGCCTTAGGGAGGTTGGAAGATCCGGAGGCCAGACCTCGGTAGCCAGACCCTGGAGCCAGAAGGCCCCCGGGACTTTCAGCAGAGGGTGTGCCAAGCCGACTGCGTGGTGGTTTGCTGGGACTGGTCCTAGGGCAGAAGCTACCCTGTGTGAGGCTTGCAGACACTGATCAAATAATTAAGCCAATTAAGCTCCAACAAACAGAAAGGAGGGAGCAAGCGCTGACTTTCACCCAGAAAAAGGTCATCTTGCAAGGCAGGACACAAAATGACCCAAAGAGTCAGGGTGGTCCTGGGAGACAAACCTCTACTGAGGAGGAGCCTGGGGGGGCACCCCACCCCATTTAGCTGAGGGTGGTTGAAAAAGAACCCTTCTGGAGGCAGAAGGGTGTGTGTGTGAGAGAGAGAGAGACAGAGACAGAGACAGAGACAAACAGGGGGGGGGGAGAGAGAGAAGCACAAAATCTAGAAAATTCCAGCGAAGGAACATCCCAGAGGCTGGGCCTTTTGCTGGAATGCAAGTCCCCACCTTCCCGGGAATATGGAGGAGGAGATGACTGCAGAAGATCCCGAGGCAGCTTTTCAAAGTGCTCTCCTCTTCACACAGGGGCAGAGCAAGGGTTCTAGGACAGTGAGGGCAGGGTTGCAGGACTGGAGGCTGACCCTGGGGTGGGGTGTGTGAGTGGGGGGGTGGTCAGTGGACCTGGGGTCCGGGGAGCCCCCAGGCATACCACTGCACAGCTAGGGGCGTAGGTCCTCAGCTCCTGAGCGTAATTATTTGATCTGCAGATGTAAGTGGAATTTATTGTAACAACAAATATAGTGATGTCAAAACCCAACCTTGGATTAAAGCCGGCAGCCAAAGGGGAAGTGTATTAATTTCCAACAGCATCTCAGGCCAGAGCCTATTAGAACAAGCTATTCTTCAGGCCCCCCCATCAGAATTAATCATTGGGAGTTAATTTGAAGCTCAGACAAGTTGCTGTTAATTTAGTGCAGGGAGGACGGGATGGAATAAAAAGCGGAGGTGCTGGCCGAGCCTCGTGGGTCTCATTAATCAGCCAGCTGAGACGGCCTGGCTTGATTACAATTTGCAAAAAAATTCATTAGGGCCCGGGCGATTGACAATTTTTCTCTCTGCCTGTGATGTGACTCATTAGGCAGCCAAATGAAAGCCATGATGACGGCCATGATGACAGCGGCCATCAAGCTCTGCTTGTTTATCTTCCTCCCCTCGGCCTGTCTCCTGGCCAGCCCGGGCTTCGGCCTTGCTGCCTGGCTCTGGGTGCTAGGTCGCTCAGAGGTTGAGGAGGGAGGGGGACACTGGCCCTAGAGGGCCCCAGGGGGGCCGGATGTCCCACTCTTCCTGGGGTGATTCTAAAGTACAAGAGGCGTGGTTGGGAATGGCCTGGGAGCTTCGGCCCTGAGTTGGGGGTGGTGGGGTGGTGTCTTTGGCCAACCTGTATTCCGCAGGAGTTTGGCTTTCTCCTGCTTTCGTGCACCCAAGGCTTGGCTGGGGGAACGGGGCGGGGGCGCGCCTGGCGCTGCCACCCACCCCTATCATGGGCTGCAGAAAGGACACCCCTCAGGAAACGGGGAGACACTGTGGAGTCTTCCCGGAGTGCTGGATTCTAAGCCCAGGGTGGGTGCCTGCCCCAGACCCAAGTACTAGTGGGTCAGGAAAGCCGCAGCTACCCTGCCCCCCGCTCCCCCCCCCGTCTTGGGGACGGGATTCTGAGTCGTGGTCACCGTCCCACTGGGGGTGCCGAAGCGGCCCAGGCACGGCCTGGATCCCAGAGTCTGTTTGGGGTGAGGGAGTGGAGGCTGGTCTGGATGCAGAGGCATGGGCCCGCGGCCAGTGGAGGGCCTTCCCAGGGCAGATGGCAGGCACACGAGGCACGATCCAGGCAGCAGCCTTGGAGGCCAACACTGGGGCGCCCCGCGACCCAGGTGCCACCTCCGCTGCCCGTGGCGCGCGCGCAGTGGAGGCAACCGGCAGCCGTTGCGTCTCGGTCTCGCGCGCTCAAACCCCAGCCCGGGGCTCGGCCGACGCGGACACGTTTGGGAGCAAGGGGAACCCGCGGCCTGGCGTCTCTCGGGGCCTGCGGGGTGGGCGAGGCCGCGGTGCCCGCGCGCCCCGCGCGGAGGTGGCGAGCCGCATCCCCGCTCGTCCCGACCCCCGGCGCCGCCGGCCCCCCTTCCGGGGCCAAGACCAGGGCCGCCGCGGGCGGGCCAGCTCCCGGCCTCTCCTCCCTCCGCTGGGCGGGCAGGCTTCACGAAGCTTCTCTGCTGGCGCTGATTTGGCGGCCCGAGGGGTTCTGACACCGGATCACCCTCCACCATTCCGGGGTCGCCGGTCCCGATAGTCTCTCGCGGGGCCTGGGCGCCGGGGGTGGTGGCTCCCAGGGAAGTGCGGAAGGGCTTGGGGAGCCAGGCGCGGCGCTCGCGCTCCCAAGGCTTCGGACCCCAGCGGGTCGAGCCTCCAGCCCGCCGGCTTTCCCCTCCTCTTCCCCTTTGTGGTGCCCCCGGGGTGGGGTGGTGGTCGGGGCCCGCCCCTCTCCGACCCCGCCCGCAGGGGGAGGTGCCTGGCCGGCTGGAGCTCTCCGCCTGTCCAGGCCTGGGCGCCCAGCGCGGCCGGCCGACCGGCCTGCCTGCCAGGAAGCGGGGCTTGGCAGGCTGTGTCCCTGCCCCGGTCGGAAGATAACGCCAGCCTGGAACCTCAGCCCCGCGGGCCGGCGAGCGCCGCTGCTTGGGTCTGGGGGTGTTTGTAGAGACGCCTTTCTGGCCGGCCTGCAGCGGATGGAGAGTGTGCGCCGCGTCGGCACCGGCTGTCCCGCCTCTGGGAACCGCCTTCTGTCCTAGCCGAAGTTTACCTGCTGGCCAGGTACAGAGGAGACCGTGCAAAAGGGAGCGATGGTTCCATTCCTAGGATTTAAACTACACTTCCTTACACCGTGACCCTATGGGAACGACTACGCTCCAACACAGAACCTATTGCAGTGCTCCAGCCATCTGGAGACCGGCCTCCACCTCCGAGGCTTTTCCAGAACTGGTCCCAAGCCAGGTCCCTCCGCCACGCCCTGACTGGTTCTCCAAACTGGGCAAATTCTAGACACACTTAGGACGCCTGGGGATGGATCTTTTTTTTTTTCCTTGCTCTTTTTTTTTATTATTATTCACAAGACTGAGATTGTTTAAATGTATAACTTATCTGAACAAAAGCTACATTGAAATAAATTAAACACAACAGAAAGGCGCGTCAGGTATGGCTCCGATGGGATGTGCCACCCCAGGACAGAAAGCCAGGCAAAAGCAAAACAAAGCAAATTTCCAAGCTGCCCAACCACGTCTGCTTTGCGATCAACTCAAAAAGGCCAGAATAAAAAACTTAAAAAAAAAATCAGTGTGAACCCCAGGGTCCGTTCCTGTGTTTCATGATTACCTTGGGAAACGCATGGGAAGGTGGCTGCTAAGCACCGTGCTGGTGCCAGAGCAGCAGCAGCAGCAGCAGCAGCAGCAGCAGCAGCAGCAGCAGCAGCAGCAGGTTTGTCTGGGTCTGGCATGTAAGGGGAGGGCATAACTGGGTAAGCTGTCCTCTAACTTTCAAAATACTGCGGCTGAGATCCAGTCTATATAGATATCTATGTACAAAGTAGGGTAGTATAATAAATATTTAGTGTATCTTCAGGTGTGGCTGTAGCCCCTTTCCAAAGCAGTCTTTCAAGCCTGGGTAGCGAATATATTCTCAACTTTCTTGGTCTGTCCGCCTCTGGGATGGATGTGACTGAGGTTCGGCTTCCGCCCGTGGAGTCGGCCGTGGGTTCCCCTCGGGTGCTTCTCCCCGGCGGGCGGGAGGGCCCTCAGGGCCGGGCCTGCTCCAGCTGCTGGTGCTGACTTCTGATGGCGAACCTGCTGACGTGCACGGGGATGGGGACCACGATCTTGGGGTTCCGCGAGGGTTCCCCGGTCTTGGAGTTAGCATTGCCTGCCTTCACCCGTTTCCACTTGGCCCGGCGGTTCTGGAACCAGATTTTCACCTGCACCTCGCTGAGTTTGAGCGCGTGCGCGATCTGCGAGCGCTCGGTCAGGGACAGGTACTTTTTGCAGTGGAACTCCTTCTCCAGCTCCAGCAGCTGCTCGCTGGTGAAGGCCGTGCGCCGCCGGCGGTTCTTGCCCGTGGACGTGGTGCTGCCCGCCGCGCCGCCGCCGCTCGGCGGGGTCTCCTCCAGCGCGTGGCCGGGGTCTTCCTCCTTGTGCGCCGCCTGGCCGGTCAGATTGTCATCCGAGCTGTAGTCCACATCGCTCTCCAAGGAGAAGCTCTCCTCCTTGCTCTTCGGGTCGTCTTCCGCCTTGGACTCGTCTTTCCCGTGCCCTCGGACAGCCCCGACTGAAAGCAAAACCAAACGGCGTTTTATTACGTTTCTCACGGGGCCTTCCTCACCCCGCCCGCCGGCCTCGGCTGCTCCCCCCGCACTTAGCGGATTGTCTTTCTATGACATTAACACATGGCGATTTCCTGGCCTTTGAGGGGGACTCGCGGGGGGGGGGGGGAGGAGAGCGAGCGTGAGAAAGCTCAAAGGAGAGGAGGGGACCGGACGGGCGACGACCCTTTGCCCACAACCATCACTCAAGGCGCCGCCATGCCTCCCGGCCTGCGGCAGCTCCCGGGCGAAGCAGCAGGCCGGTCGAGGCCCGAGAGGGCGTCCCCATTGTCCCCGGGGGCGCGGGACTGGGGGGGGGGGCTTGGCTGGGTGACATGGGAGTCCTGCCCCCCACCCTTTAGCCGGGCAAAGGCAGCGAGCCTTCATCTCCTCGCGGCCGAAAGAGGGGTTCCGGGGCGCGCAGGCCAGGAGGCGCGTTTGGTGATGTTAGTGGCAGGAACGATCGCAGCCTCAGAAGTTCCTGCCAAACCACACGCGCGCGCACACGCACACGCACATATACACACGCGCGCGCACACACACACACACACACACACACACAGCACCGCCTCTCCAGAATCCGGTTCTCTCCTGCACAAACCCATCGGAGACGCATTTAAGTTTGGACACCCGAGCCCCCCGCACGGCTGAGCCCCAATAGGCCTCTCCGAGGGCTGCCCAGGGGGGTCCAGGTCCCAGAGGAGAGAGGAAGGGGTAGAAGCTGCGGGGTGGGGGGGGGGTGGATTGGGACAAACGAGCCGCCGGATACGTGGCCCAGAGCAGCAGCTGGCGGTGTGTGTGTGTGGGGGGGTGCTGACACCCAACCCCGGCCCTGGGACCCCCCCCGCGACCCCCCCTGGCCCGCCGGCCCCTCAGTTGTCCTCGCGGGAAGCCGGAGCCGGCCCGCCCCCACCCCTCCCGTTCCCGCGCCCGGGCTGCGCGCGCCGCCGACTCACCGAGCGACGCCTGCACGGCCTCGGCGGCGGCGGAGAAGGCGAGCAGCGAGCCCTCCTTGGCCAGGAAGCCTTTGCCGTCTTCCGCGTCCGCCGGCAGCGCCTCCGCCTTGTCGAAGTTGCCGCCGCCGGGCAGCGGCTGCGGAGCGAACTTGCGGGCGGCCGCCGCCTCCTGGTGCTGCTGGGGCGACGCGGAGAAGCCGCCCGGCAGCGTGGCCATGAGGGTGGAGGTGAGCGCCATGCCCTGCGCCAGGCTGGAGCAGAAGCCGGTGGGCAGGCTGGGGATCTGGTGGTGCGGGTGCGCGGGCGGGAGCGCGGGCTGCAGCGCGGCCTGGGGCAGCGCGGGCGGCGGCGGCGGCGGCGGCGGCAGCACCACCGGCCGGTAGGGCATGAACATGGGGTAGCCGGTGTAGACGAAATGGCCGGGGCTGGGCTGCGGCGGGCTGCCGATCAGCGAGTCTATGCTAAAGGCGGTACTGCTCCCCAGCGGGCGCTGCATCATCATCAGCGACGGCGGGAACGCTGCGCTCATAGACGCGCTCGGGAGAGGCAGGGAGAGGCGAGAAGTCCCCGCGCCGCGCCGCCGCCGCCGCCGGGAAGCCCGCCGGACGCTGCGAGCGCCGGGCGGAGGCCGAGCACGATCCGGGGCCTCGGGGCTTCCTCCCCTCAGTCCTGAGCTCGAGGCATGCCCGGTGGGGCGTGGATGCGGGTGGTGCGCCGCGGAGCGGACGGGGCCCCCGGGGCCCCCGCGGGGTCGCCGGAGCCGCGGCCCCGCTGCTGGCCCCGTCGGAGCCCGTGCGCGCGGCGTCAGTGGCTCTCGGCCCGGCTCGCGGCAGCTCCTGCGCTCGTCGGTCGTCCGTCGCCTCCCGCGGGCCGCTGGGGAGCGCGCGAGGCCAGCGCACTCGTCTCCGGCGGGCGCCGCCAGCACCTTTAAATCGCGCTCTCTTTCTCATTCACATTTTGCCTGCTGCACGGCCCAGCTCGTCTCACGTGGGGCCGCCCGTCGCCCGCCATTGGCTGCCGCGCGCGGGGCGGGGCGGGGCCGGGGCCCGCCCCCAGCCCGGCGGTGTGGTGGGAGTGGGCTGCGGGCGCCACCGTCGGAGCGCACAGGCCTCGGGGGTCGGGCGTTGGGACGCAGCGGAGCCAACTTGAGGGGAGCCGTCGCCACCTCCCAGGCTTAGCGCCCGCGGCCGCCCGCGGCCTCGGGAGCACTCGCGCGCCAGCTGGCAGGCGTCTTACTCGTTTTGTATTTGCTCCGAGCCGAGCCTGACCCGGGCTCGCCGGAGCGCTGGGCGCCGGGACCGGGGTTCCGGCCAGGTTCCCGGGAGGGGAGCCGAGTCCTGCCCGGCCCGGCCGGGCCGCGGGGCGCGGGCCGGAGCTGTCAACCCCGGCCCGTCCCCAGCCTGCTTGGCTGCGTCCCCCCCCCCCCCCGCCGCCGCCTCCCCACCGCACTGCAGGCGGGGCGCGGGACGTGCTCCCCACACAGCCCCATTTCCGAGCCGGGCCTTCCCGCGTGCGGGCCCCTCTCGGTTTCCTGACCTCCTCTGTCAGCGCACCTGTTTACCCACGTTGCCAGCGCACACCGAAACCACCGCCCGAGGGTGACGGTCCTAAAGCGCCCGTCGCCCGCTCGGTCCCGGGGCCTCCGGAGGGTGGCTCGTAAGCCGATCCGACGACGCTTGACGCCGAGTGCTCAAATAAAAAGCTGCGTCGTGTACATGGGTGCTAATTAAGCACCGAGCGCTTCGCCCCGCGCCGCGGCTCCGCCGAGGACTCGAGGGCGCGCGCGGCTCCACTTTGCACACCGCAGGACGGAGCAGATCCCCGCAAGGTATTTCCTACCCTGCTCCCGCCCGGGGTACAGAGCCCCGACCGGGGAAGTGAGGGAGCTCGGGGAGGGGGGAGGGCCGGGGGCGAGAAAGCGAGGTGAGGCGGCGGATCCCCGCTTCCCGTTAGGATTAACTTTCAGCTCCCGCGTTGCTGGTGGAGAAGGCGGTGTGCGCGGAGCGCGCCGGAGCGCGCGGGGCTGGCCCGCGCCCCGGGCCCGGGCTCGGAGACCCCCCCACCCCACCCCAGACCGGCCGACAGCGCCCGGACCGGGAGATGGAGAGAGGACGGACGGCCTGGTTACCTCGGCCATTACAAACCAGCTCACGCCCAGGAAGGAGCTCGCGGTCGGGGCGTTGGTCCGTGTTGGACGTGTGTTCTGTGTCGCCGACAAGCACATTTAATTGGGAGATAAAGACACATCGATCTTTATGAATGTATCGACCCGAGTCTTTGAAGTTCTTCTTTCTCGCTCTTTCCTCTTTCGCTCGCTCTAACCCCCAGGCCCCCCGGGGTGGAGGGGGATGTCTTAATCCCAGAGCACATTCTGAGCCAGGAGTCGGGCTGGAGACCCGGAGCCCGAGGTGCGGCCCCCGGGGAGGAGAGGGGAGCGAGCGTCCGGGGCGCCGGGGCGGGGGGGGGGGCGCCGGGAAGCCTCGCCGGCCCGCCGGCCTGCCTCCCTCCTCCCCCTTCCTCCTCCCAGCCTCTTCTCCCTCCCCTCCGTCACGGACAAAGACGTCTGCGGCGCGTTCCCCCACTCCAAGCCGCCGTAATAGCTCGGGCAGCAGGCGGTGTGAAAGGAATTCATTAGGACGCTGCCTGGATGGCTTTCACTCGCTCCCGCCCAGACCTCGAGGTGGCTCGGGCGGTGCGGGAGGGGACGGGTCCCCATTGAGATCCGTGGGGAAGGAGGGGTCCGTGGGTTCCCCGAGCTCTGCCCCACCCCGGCTCTGCCCTCCTACAGAAGGGGAAGGGGGGGGGGGAGAAGGGGCCGGAGACCGAGGCAGAGGCTGATCTCTTCACGAGCTCAACAGACACCCCCTCTCGTCAGGAGACAGTCACGACGAGCATCTCCGGTGCAGGACTTTGCCCCCCCCCCCCCCCCCAGTCCCAGAGCAAACCCCTCTGCGATTTCCACGGACAGCCGGGGACCCTTCCAGCCGCCTTTGCCCGGGCTGGATCTCCTTTTCCTCCTTTTCCCTGGGCCCACTGGCGATCCACTGTCTATTACCTCGAAAGTGTTATTCTAGGGACGCCCTCAGAGAGGCAGATTCTTCTGATTTTATTTTATTTTTTGCAGTTCTGCGTTTAAAGTTCAGCAAGGAGGTTTAGTTCGGTGAGTTATAGCTACACTTGAAACAATTTGATGGCAGGTTCTTTGCACCCATAAATTGCCATGAAAACTATTGACTGCAGGGGTTATAACACTAATCTTCTTTTATTAGTGAGTTCGGATAATTTTCATCAATATGAATTTTATTTACTGGTGTGCTTTTCTCGGATGCAATGTAGTAGTGTTCTCCCACCTAATGCTTAACTGCTTAGAAAACGACTGCTCCCGTCATAAAAGGACCCGTGTCTTTCGCGGTGATTAACAAGGCTCATTCTAGGCATCTTGGCTACCTGCAAAGTTTTCAGAGCGGGGGACTGCGGATGGCAAAGCCTTTATGGAGACTTCGGCTCTGCCAAGAGATTTATGAGCAGGGAGCGACAGGCTTAGCACATCTTTCCGAAGCCTAACCTGCTCATCTTCCAACTTCTAAGTCGAGGGTGGCTGCCCTCCAAGCCATAGAGTATGCAGGAAAACCACCCACACAGAGCTTTACATCTTTGCTTTATGAGCCCCTCCCACTCCCATTAAGAAGGAAGCAGATGCAGGGGTGGGAAGGGAGAGGGGCTTTCTCTACTCCCTGTAACTTCTGCAAACTTTTTTCTTTCTCGGGCAGTCACCGTCCCAATGAAGATAACCCAACCCCAGGGCACTTTAATATCGCCAAGCAAGTGTCGGGATGGAGGATTAAGCCACTTAAATAAGTAGTTTAGCCGTTTGATAGAAGTGGTGGTGCTGATTAAGTTGACTCCATCCTTCGGAGCAGTCCCGGTGCCGTGTGCGTGTAGGCGGGTGAAGGTTGAATGCAAAACAGAAAGTGCACAAGGAAATGAATGTTTATTCTAAGGCTGGCCAGAGGACTGAGGAGGCACCACCTTGCATTTTGCAGGGGTGAGGGAGGGAGGGCTGTGTGGGTGCCCCAGAACTCTGTGGGTGCTGGATGCTGAGTGAGGTCTGCGTGCGGGTTTTACTGTCTGAGCTCTCCTGACAGCCGCCCAAAGCCTGGCAAAGGCTGGCTTCTCCGGCCACCGGGTTGTTTTAATTTAGGGAGAGTTTGAACGGCCAGATCACTTGGTCATTGCCACAGTTCTTGCTCCTAGCAGTCGTTGGAAAATAACTTGGGATGGGTTTTGTTTATGAGAAGGCAATTGGGATTCACACTTAGCTAACCCAGAACAGTGCTCCCTACCCAAGACGTACTTACAAAGAGGTGCTTGTGTAAAAGCCCCCATCAGACACACCAATTTGCAGGCAGTAGAAAGCACTGAAGCCTCATCTTTTTAAACTATTTTATTCAACTTTTTTTTTAAAATCTGAAAGCCCAAAATAGACTCCATGTGGTTCTGAGTGAAGTCAGTCCTGGGCTGGCTTTGAAATCGCTCCTGCAATTATGTAAAAGAGCCATTCACCAACAAGACAGAATTAAAAGGGATCTCACCCGCTTCCCTTCCCTTGCCAACCTCTCCTGTTTGGCTTTTCAAAGCACTTCCAACACGATGTCTTTCTCCAGGACAAAAGACAGAACAAAAAAAGTCCCCAAACTTGTAAATTGAACGTCAAGGGAACTTTAAACAATTTAAAGCCCATAAATAATGATAAAGGGAACTGGCAAAAAAGGCAAACCCATTCAATTAATAGAGTTTCCCAAGCAAAGATCAAGTGGTGTATAAAATGAAAGTCTTTGGTTTCTTTATTCGGCTTTTTGACCATGCAGAAAGGAGGGGGCCGAAGGCGCCCAGGAGAAGAAACACTTTGTGAGGCTGTGTGTGCCTGCCATGTTCTTATGTGGAAACTTTCCTTTCTGCCTCCTGCTCTCCAAGTAGCAGACACACACACAGACACACACACACAGACACACACACACACAAAACAACTGCAATCCAGAAATTTCCAGTAGGGATTTATTTATTTTTTTTACATTTTCTCGGGAGAGTGAAAAAATATGTTCCTCAGGGCTGAAGCTGGGAAGTGTGACCCTCCACACCTGCTCACGCTCGACCCCTCCCCTTTCCTCCCTCTCGGAGGAAGCCACGTTCTCCTGGCCCCGTGGACTCGGACGGCTGCGTGATCTTGCTCACCATGAAGACACCAGGACCGTGGCTGCTGCATGGCGCACCCAGGAGAGTTCACTGCACATGGAGCTCTCAGCTTTCCCACACTCCCGCATCCCTAGGGTGGGAACTCAGGCATCAGAAGGCCCAGGCTGAGGTCTTATTGTTTTGCAGAGTGGGCCTCAGCGATTGAGACTGGAGAGGTTGTGACAGCCGGAGATAACCAGCCTTCATCCCAACTCCACCACCCGCACCACATCAACGGAGGAGCAGCCTAGCAGAGGAGGAAGATTGTGTGTGTGTGTGTGTGTGTCTGTGGGGGAGTGGTCGCCCACCCAAGGACAAGAGTCCTCAGAAGC